ATCGACCAGACTACACAGCGCAACAACCCAGAAGACGGAAATCTTCATACTCATCGCCCTGATGACGGAGGCAGTATGACCTCTGAAACGTTAGTAAACATCGACCAGACTACACAGCGCAACAACCCAGAAGACGGAAATCTTCATACTCATCGCCCTGATGACGGAGGCAGTATGACCTCTGAAACGTTAGTAAACATCGACCAGACTACACAGCGCAACAACCCAGAAGACAGAAATCTTCATACCCACCGCTGTGAAACCCCCAAATCTTACGTGACCATATATGTTCAGAATATGACATTTGGTATAACAGCTTGACGGCCTCACGAAATCCATACTTATCTTTCGGTCTGGTAACTATAGCCGAAGTAATGACATCATTGGTTTTATGCAGATAAAGTTTTAATATAAGCCTATCGATCGAAATTGATGTAGTTGGAATCAGTACTATAATAACTGGATAACTGCATTATACTATTATTAATCGAAATTATAGCTAATTTTACCACGTACAGTAGGCATCCATATTGAAGCATCTGAAAGAAGCCTGTGTCGTAAATTCTTCACAGAATCAGACAGAGAAAGCAAACCATTAGACTTCTACCTCAACCTCTTACATATCTCGGATACAAAGCAATTAGTTCTGTAACGCAGGTATGCTGAATTGTTTAAGAATTTGGTTTATGATTCGGACAAAGTTTTCAGCTTATTGAATTAATCGTAGAGCAAAGGAAAATGTCTTTTCCACTGTCAGATCAACAATTTTGTTGAACGCTTCGTACGTACATATTCCGTTGGTAGTACATACGTCTCAACTGATTCATATCACGTATTCATGAAGATTATAGGACATACGTGACCAGTCTATTCTTAATGTTAATTATAACTCATTTTGCGACAAAATAATAATACGACCCACTTTGCTATGTGTGTAATGGCATTAGTACTGGTCCCATATACGACATAAAACGAGTATTAATATGACTGGCTATACGATAAATGTCTTAAATTATCTTTGCAGTCTACATAATGTATAATTAGACAAGTTTTAACCTATTTAATTGGTGATAATATATTACAGAACTGCTCCCTAAATATATATGATTTAAATCGCCATTTATTGTAACAAATCCCAAGGGTTACCCAACTGTCGAGATCTGGGGCCAGAACTCGTAGGCTGCCGAATTATAAACGAAGACCTTTTATTGAAATGTTATCGGAAATCATTAAAATTCTAGATAAACAAGTTCACATGTAGGTGGTCCCAGTGTATACACATTATAATACAGAATATTAATCTTCTGTGTGTACATATTTCGGGGAAATCTTCTAATATATGACTTTCCCCAATGAATTTTGTTTGTCATTCTTATTAAGTGTTTACTTAAGAACACTTTAATATTTAACTCTATAACGATTTTAACATCATACAGGGTGATCATTATTACAGAAATATAGGTAGGCTTCACAAAACACGTCGGCGGGCCATAGACTGATAACCCTGGGACTGTTATTCTATTTTTTGTGCTGAATTTATATGTTTAGAGTAAGATTACTTTCTCTAAAATTATATTTAACTGAAACGGAACTAATATTAATATCTATGTCCTGTTGCTTGTAACAGGACGTTGTTTTTGTAGTTATATAAACAGTGAGCTGGAGACCCTTCCTCGTCGTTGGTCGTACAAATGTCCTGTGTTTTGTTCGAAGAGAAAGCAAGACATCGAACCATTCAGACGTAATAAAGTTGGCGACTCCTAGGTTTTTTCAAGACACAGGATTTGTATTGCCCCAGGGTACATTAGGACGGTACTCCGAACACCACTTTCACGGCGCGAAGGGACTTCAAGAGAGTCCAGGACAAATATTTATTTTGGTGATGCTACACAGGGTTTGTTTCTGAGGGTACGGTTAATATAATCAGGGATCTTGTACTGTTTATAACAGTCTTTGTTGTTGTTTCGTTATACAAGTCTCTCTACTACATTACGCCGACCGAAATGCTTCTCATTACACATCAGCGATGGATGTACAACCATTGTACAGGATGTATAAACGTTTTTAAGTTATAGATAGGAATTAAATTATTATTCCTGATGTTAGAGTTTATTTACTTTTATTAAATACTTAAGTAGGTAAACTGTTGGATTCATGGATGGATATGTACAGGTAGAATATCAGTATTGACATATAATTGTTACTAAATACATAATTTTGGATATATGGGGTTGTAGGCCTGTATTTTTAATAGTAAATTTCTTTCATGGGTAAATAATTAATAACCAATGCGCGAATACAGAGTAATTCGGCTATGGAAAGTTCTGATAGTGAAGTATGTGACAGTGTAGACTTGGTATCCGGATATTTCAGTTAGGGGCATTGGGATTTTTATTTTGACGAACACGAAAAGAACAAGTGAACGAAGGAAGTTGTCGGAACACGCTGTTTTTCGACAGTAATTTTGGATAACTTCGCTGCAACATTACCTAGTGATGTAGCGTGAAGAATAATTTATTATTATTATAACTTTGGGTGGTTAGAAGAAATGTTTTGTTTCACGAAGGCTTTTGTTAGTATTAAACCAGTCAATTTCCTGTTTTTATTTCGTGGAAATCCCTGTTTGAAACGAATGTTTGGAACAGACGATTAATTTTTTACGTGATTTCAACCAGATGTCAATCACACAGCCGGTTTTCGACGAACTGCGTAGAAATCTCTGACAACCTCAGAGCCATTCGGCATAAACCATGTTCGTTAGCTGTAGAGATTCGTCAGTTGTGTCTTTCAAAAGATTCGTTGTTTATTTTATAATTGAATCAGTCATTTGCAATACAACAAGAGCTCACAGCAAAAGATTCGTTGTTTATTTTATAATTTAATCAGTCATTTTCAATACAACAGGAGCTCACAAATGTCACTTTCGAGAAAACTAAACGAAAGTCAGCAACGGCACTGTTTTTTTTACGCTTATTTACATATATATTATTACATATATATTATTTTCCGAAGAATTCGCTTTGCCATAATTTGAAAATTACTGATATGAGAGACATAATCTGTGATCCAGAAAAATGTCAGTGTTTCTGTTGGAACATTTCTTTAGCATATATACAGGTTTTCTCGTCAGCATTCATTTATGGCAGTTTTTGTGAACTGTAGACAGAAGAATCGATAGCATCAACCGAAAATTTGCGCAATTTTTTTTTTCAAATATCTCGACTGTTCACTCAGCCACGGCTCTGTGTGTGTGTAGCGCTGCTTGGGAAGATCGCGCGTGTGTGTGTGTGTGTTCTAGTGATACTTGGCGAGGGTTGGAGAGGCAATGAGGACGATGGCGGGGGGGAGGGTAGTAAGACAAACTGAACAATGCAAAGCGTGCTCAAGTTGTTTCGAGATGGAGGAGGCTGCCGGCTTGGAGGCCCTGCTTCGGCAATCGATGAAGGTACGAGGGAGGCAGAAGCGAGCGGTCAGACAGTAGAAGGGCAGAGGGTGGCAGTACTGTTCGCGCGATCAGAGGGATAGGAACGGCACATCTCTGTTCCTGGGGATACCTCACGTTCTCTCTATCTCTCTCTCTGACTACACTATCAACCTCCGTAACTAACCGTCAACATCTGTACTATCGTTGGTCTTCCGTCAACGAGGAGCAAACTGTCCCTCTTCAGTTGTTTGCCCGCTGATGGACAGCACGGCACTGAACACGCTCGATCAGAGGTAAAAGAACCACGCGGTAGGTTTGGTCCGTTTGCCCCATCGGACCGCACAGATGCGTGCTACCAATTATCGTGTTTCGGCTTCGTGGGAAATCCTCGCGGGATTCGGACTGGGCATTCTTCAATTAGGTAAATACGAACGTTAATACTTGACTTTATTCATGTCTTGGTTGTGTTAACGCATTCTGAGTTGCGTATGACGCATGTTGGTCGTGTGTACTGTAAACAAAGCATGACAGTAAGAAAATATTAATTAATTGGAGTACAACGAAATTTTAATCCATGACGCCAGAGGCCTCGCTGTGCTTATTATGTTTCGTTCATTTTCTTAGACTTAATTCTTAAGAATACGAGAACAGTTTGAAGAGAGTAGGTCGCGTTAAAAAGAAAGTTTGTTCCACGAGGTTTATACATCGCTATATTAGTACAGAACGTCAGACATTTTATAAACTTGAGTGTGTTCGACGCGCATCTTAAGCTCTCTTCGTTTCACATTTATTTTTCAAACCAAAGAAGGAAATAATGTGCCTACGGTCTGAACCAGACGCCGTCCGCTTCAGCCCGCTACTGGAAGTTTAATTGCGAAATTAATCGTGTACTACGTTAGCCGGAATTCGAACTCGGGGCCACAGAGTAGTTAAGTTTGTAAATTTATGTCACGATGAAGGAAGGTGGGAGTGTGGGCGAGACATGCACTCAGGAGTATTGGCAATTAAATTGAAATAGAGATGGCAGCACTGTTGATGTAAATGTCTGCTAACTTCGGGTTGCTAAGATATTCATCGAACAGATAGACGTTAAATGTATGCTTCAATTATAATAATGGTTCACGTAATGTCATTGTTTTGTGTAAATGTTAAGTTTTACAACTGAAAGCGTTGCGCATGGGAAGAAATAATGTCAGTTTTGTATTAAATTGCCATGAGCTACTGCATTATATCTGGGATTAAACATGCACATGTTGCACGGGGAGATCCAAGTTCAATTATTTCTGTATAAACAAATCTAAGCAGAAATTGTTTTCACGAATATTGTACACATGAAACGTAAGTCATTTATAGACTGTGTTGATACAGGGTTCGATACTTGACGACGCTGGTAGAATATTTCTTAGTTTCTTTTTGCATAGTCATCTTTTAATTTCTGAGTTAAGGCACTATTAGAATGTAACGTAGCTGGAAATAAGACGTGATTTTATAACTTTTTACAAATGGCGGACGCATTATGTTGAATTCCTTTTAACAACAAATTGTAAAAGTGCGACGTATTTGGTTGTGGTAAATTAGCCAATATATGAAAATAATCTGGATATGAACATCACCAGAAAACATCACCAAAAAGCTACACAACAGAAATTGTAATTGAGTTTTAAGTTTGTTGATATAATTTTACACCTGAAGATGGTTCGATGAAACCGAAACATGTTGTAAAAATGTTCCAAATGTAAATCGATTATTCGATGTGGAACATAAAATGATATTTTAATTATCTTATTTGTAAATTTTAAATATAATTGTGATTAGACGGACAAAACCGAATAATTAATTAGATATTTTATATTTTACTCTGTATTGTACAGACTGTCCCACAAATCCGGGATGCATTTGGGCATTCCTTGAATTGGTGTGAGACCTATAGGCAAATTCTGCCGTCCTATTGGTTCATCGTACTCGGTATCGTAATGGCGGTTTCGAGTGGCCATTCTTTCCAGCCTTGGTTATGTACTAAGAACGTGTGCCATTTATTCTGCGTCTTTTCTGAGGCCTCAAAACGGGAGATTTCAGCACTGTAATCATTCGAATTTGTTATTATTATACCCAGCACAAGAAACTAGTAAGATGGCTGCGTTCACCTACAGGTTCCGTATCAATGTAAGGGATGCTTATACGCGCCCGGACCATAGAATAAGTCGATTATTTGCAACGTTACGGAAAAATGTAAAGAGAGAAATTTGTTGCAAATTATGTGTTTTTAATCTCAAGTGTTGGATTATTCTTGCCTCGTATGAGCCATTACGACTGTGCACTGTTTACATTATCAGTAATGAGAAGTTAATGAGATGTTGCCACGCGGACACCAAACGGAGGATGTGTTTCTTTCACCAATTTTTGTTTCCCGTAGTAAATGTGTCTCCATCAACATCGCTTCTTCCTGCTCTAGAAACACGTAACTCGTTTCGTGGTCATGTCAGTGTGGTAAAATTGCCATATCGTTTTACTGTTGATAATGTAAGGAGTGTAGCGCCAGAATGCCACCTCCCATGTAAAAATTTCAGACCTGATTTGGAACAACATTTTTCTCTTTACCTATATCCATATTTTGCTATATATTCTCCTATGACCCCGGACGTATGGAATATGGTATAGGTAGAATGTTAGTAGAGTCAATCGACTTTTTATTCGTGGGGTTTGGATCGTTGAGAAAACCAATCTGTTTTTGGAAAAGATCTGTGTACAGTATTAACTGTTTAATACAGGAACTGCCAACCTTTTTTTCAGGAAAAAGCCACATTCTTCCATAAGTATCGATTCCCGAACCGAAAGCTTATCAAGGAGGAACATTTATTGAAACATTTTATCAGAGTTTTAAAAACACTTTCGTATTTCAGGTTTTTTTTTACGGTAACGCGTATAAAGATGTATGCTGTGTATTCTAGTGCATATTGACCAACGTTTCACAGGAAATTTGTGTCTCCATCTTCAGGGCTGGAGATTGAGACAGTATATTTTTCTGAAATATTGGTCTTTTCTTACCAGTAGATACGGCGGTAGAAACGAGGAAAAGCAACGTCGACATACTTTATTAGTTGTTTATACAAAAGTTATCCAACATTATTACTGAATTAAAAACCTATAACTGCTGCTGTTGATACTTTACTGAATTACCAACACCTGAGGTACATTTCAGCCATAAGTATAGTATATATGTAATATACCCCATAAAATTGGCTCACGTTTCAGTATGTTCTTTCTGCCCCTTTGATAATTTACAGCTATTTATCCAACTTAGACTCGTCCAAAGTGGTATATTTTCTTCGTTGATAAATTTATGTCATAAACTCATTCCTTGATTGGTTGGTACTAGAGTAAAGCGAATCGTTTATCTTAATAAAAGGCTGTAATTCAGAGGACGCGAATGTAGGTTAATGAGGTAAACTTGGGAGCACCTCAACTCTTTCTTAATGAGTGAAAAACTCTTTTAAGAGTAAAATTAATACGAGAAGACAGTCTCTAAGACCAAAACCACTTCGCAAACCACTTAGTTCCACAGAGGGTCGAGAAGATTTTAACCTATATTGGGAACAGTAAAACCATAGAGACGATGAAGATAACTGTCTTCTGGTAAGTTGCGCACTGTAATACGGTATAAATTTACCAACATTTAAGAGGTTCTTACTGCCTCCATCCTCAAAGCGATGAATAAACCGCGCGAGATATAGCAGCTTGTGTGCCAAGGTCATTCCCCGGGATTACCAGGTGAACTTAGTTTCTTAGTGATGAATTAACCTGCTCTGTTTCTGCGTGACCCGCCTTAAATCTACCTGTTTGTGTACTGAGGTGCTGAACTTTTGAAAATGTAGGTGGCCACTGTGAGTGAAAAGTTTGGAACTCGCAGCTTATCTTATTTAATATTCTGTTATAACTTTGGGCAGGAGAAAGTTAATAACTGCTTTTAGACATGTTAGAAAGTTTTCCATGAACACGTACCCACAGTTTGATTGAATCTATAATGTAAAATGCATGCAGAAAAAGGTCATAGCTTATAGACTGTATTTTAAACATTTTACATGAGTAAAATAGCTGTCTCGTTAATTACTGTAGTATGTCTGGCTTAAATTGTTCTCTTGCGGAGAAAGGTTCTCTGTACACCAGAGAACACCTGCTCTGGATTAATGGCAGAGAGTGGTCGCCAGACAGCTCCTGTATTATGTGTTCTGTGCACATATTTATGTAAATTAAACAGAATTGGAGTTTAAGAATTATATCTCAGTCACATACTGTATGGTTTCTTCTGTAAGTTTATCCCACTCCGCTAGATAAATTGCTTAGTTCGTGCTGTGCTGTACCACTAAGCAGAAGAAACTATGGAGTCCATGCATATATGGAGCGAATTTTATTGTTGTTTCGTGAATTTTTATCAGCATATAAAATGATAAAAAAGTCATCAAAGTTCAGGTCATGTCAGAATCAGGTGAACACACTTCCGTTTAAGAGACTGAGGTTTTCACTGGCGGTGAAGTCGCCCTGATGATGGAGGCAGCATGGACCTCTGAAACGTTAGTATACCCCTACCAGACTACACGGCGCTGCAACCCAGAAGACAACCATCACAGATGTTTTCGATGTTGGTCTTCTCGGTTTTAACGCCGTGTAGACTTATTTAATGGAGGCAGTATGTTTCTCCAAAACGTTGGTGTCTGCCCACAAACCGTAAGACAAATAATAGTTTGCTTGCTCTCTTTAAAGGAATTTAAGTGCCCTTTTACGTCTCAGCCGGTAATCATGTACACCTTGAGACCAATGGGCTGTCAGAATTTAAGTGCCCTTTTACGTCTCAGCGGGTAATCATATACACCTTGAGACTATATACCAATGGGCTGTTTTATTCGCCTGCAAACTTATGTTTCGAGCACACGCAACACACTGCTGTCGGAGAAGTTGCCGCACTAACACGGCGATCCATTTTGTTCTGTTAAATAGCATATTCGTACAGATTTGTTATGTAAATGTTCTGATGTGGGAAGGTGGCAGGCAATCAGTTGACGTAAAGCACTAATTCTGTCTGTTCACCAAAATTTTGAATGAACTTCAAGCGAACTAATCTTTGCAGTGTCCCATTTAGGACCTCTGCTCCTATTCGTGAGGTCAAGGACCCAAGTCTCGATTCGGAGACAGATTCTAACGACTAAGGTCTTTCGTGGTGGTGTTCGGTTTATTCAGAGAAATATCTAGTACTTTAAAGCAGAATACGGCCTTTCCTTCCAAATCTTCTCCAGTTATAAACAGTCACCCCGTCATTGAGTACGTAATGTTGCCAGAGCAGCTGCCAAAGAATTGCTAATAAAATCAATAATCTAAGGCAAATGTTTAATGAACGTTTAGAGACGTGAGGTCAAGGACCCAAGTCTC